GGGGGGGGGGGGTTGGAGTGAAAAAAGGGAGGGATGTTCGACCGACGAGTTTTGGTAGTGGAGGCAAAGGGAGAGCCGGCAGAAGGGGGGTAGGGGAGGCAAAGGAATTTCAAGTTGGGTGGTGACGCGGGGCATCACCCCCCGATTCTGGTAGTGTTGACAGGGTGACAAAGAGGGTGCAGGGATGCGTCAAGTGCGATCTCAGTCAGAAGAATACAATATTGCGAGAACAGCAAAGCCACGCGGAGCTGCGAAATAAGCAAGAATCACGCCAACGAGACACCTGCGCACAATCGCATCGAAAAAAACAGCGCAAACAAGAGGACTACCTTACCCCCATTAGGAATGGTTGCAGGTACCCCGTACGCAAAACGACGAACTGGGGTCTCCAGAAATAAACAAGAGAAAAAATACATTTACCCCCCCCAACCCCTCTCTCGGTTTCTCACCGATTTCCATGCGGTTCGCCACCGGCGGGGCGTCAAGCTTAACAAGACTCAGCACCGTAGCTCCGCCGTAGGCGAAGTCCCCGAACACGGCTCGTATGTCCTTAGAGTTGCTGATGTCACGGAAGGGGGGCTTTGTCTGCCTCTCCTCGCTGCTGAGGTCCCACACTCGAACGTTAGCGTCCGTCGACTGTTTCACCCACAAGGCGGGGAGGGACGGAACATCAGCGAACGCACACCAAAAGAACACGGCGGCCAGCAACACCAACGCTTGACGCTGCTCGCTTTGGATGTGTGCTGTCACTTGTCCCCTTTGTGCCTGGAGCGTGCGACCTCCTGTCGTGCTTGTTGATTGCGTGTGAAATCACCCGCGCGTTGGGGTCGTTACCGTACGGATAGCGAAGAAGTGAAGTGGACACACCTACTTTTCTTGCGGGGAGGACGTTGGTCGGGCGTGTGGCCATATAAGACATGAAGACGATCGTGCGGCGGCGAAAACACCCACATGCGGCGCACACCAACAATCGGTGGGAGAGAAGTGGGCCACAGAGAGAGGGGGGGGCTCGGCGGAACGCAGTAGATACCCACCTCCCTCATACTCTACAACAAGCAATCTTGTAGACCAAGACGCGGGTGGGTGGTGAACGAAGGAGCCTACATGAGCCACAGCCGTCTACGCCACGCACACGAACATCCTTCGATTCCCTCCCAACCCCTCGGGCTATGTCACGACAACAAACACGGACGGCAACGTACCTTCGAAATGCCCTCCAACCCGCCGTTTCGGAAAGCCACGAGCTCCACCGTCGCCCCGTTCGTGTGCGTGTCGTAGAGGCAGGTCCACTGCCCCCCGCGGCAGCCGCTCTTCCCGCGACCGCCGCCCCCACCTCCGCTCGCCAAGTCCGGGACGAAAGACCAGACGTGAATGTTCTTGATGCCGCGGCCGCAGAAGAGGCGGTACCTCTTGCCCCACTCCCGGCGGTTCGGGCCGGTGCGGACGACCGCGGCGGCGCCGAAGCCCTTGAGCTTCCCGTCGGAGTGGGAGTAGGTGCGGATGAGGCGGTTCAGGTCGACGCGGCTCGCATTCAAGCTCGCCTCCTGTGGAAAAGCAAAAAAACATCTTAGCGTTGGTGATTCTCAAATCGGTCATAATTGTGGGAAGGTATTGCACACAAAGGTGGCTCGACGTGGGAAATGGAACTTTAAGGTGATTGGGAGGGGGGCTGGAGAGGGGCACGCGGGAAGCGCATGTCAGGCTGTTGCTAATGCTGCTTGTGCCCGCTTTTGCTTGCCCCATCGGTTCTTTGGAGACAAAAGAGTCCAAGACACGGCATCGCACCGCGTCATAGCTCACCTCACCATTTTTCCGTGAACCAACTTCAACTAAATGCAGACCATGGCCCAACAAAAACAAGCTACGGTGCCGTCTGAAAAGCAACACCACAAGAAAGCGATCCAAACCCTTGCCTCCACACCTCGACCACTCCGAGGCGCCGCACGCGTAGATACGGCCCGTGACAAGCAAACACACGCCGTGTTCAAAATATGCACACGCTCAACACGCGCAAAGACCGGAAGAACACTGCAGGCAGGCGGGCGCACCTCTCCGGCCGGGAGGGTCCGCCACCTAGGCAGGTCCGAGATGTCGAGCGCGAGCACCTCCGAAGACCCTCGGAGGAGCCCGGCGAAGATGAAGCGGCCGTCCTCGCTGGCCTCCACGTGGCAGTCGACCCTCGTGTTACTGAACATGCCCTGCGCGGCAGCCCATCACCAATTAGCAACACGACACGGCATAGACAATACGTGCGAGGAGAGGCAGACAGACAGACAGACAGACAGACAGAGGTTGAGATATTGAGAGATAATGAGAGAGCGACTAGTACATATGTTGAGGGTCGCCCCGGTGATCTACTGGATACCCTCGCAGCCCACTAAGGGCCAGGTCATGGGTTCGAGTACCGGCAGATTGAGCTTTTTTCCTCCCTTAAAGTAAATCCTGGTTTCGGTTGGAAGCGACGCGCTGTAAAGCTCGTTGTTAGTTGACTTGATCGACTTCGTAAGTCGCGAGGGAAGGGATTGCTGTACCCTTCTCGCGATAAAAATATCTCAGGCAGGAACCGCAGGAGGGGGTCCAGCCCCCCCCCTCCCATGTGATCCCGGTTGGGTCGCCTAGCCAGTAGAAGTGGAGGATGGGGGCCAAAGGGGCAGACGACAGAGTCCAAACGTAAGAAAAAATAAAAAAATGTTGAGGGAGAGAGATTACCTGCGATGCAGCCCATGGAAGGTGAAAAAAAAGCATGCAAAAAAATACGCGGTACCTCCACAATTTTCCGGAACCCTTCTGAATTTTTGCTGCTCAACCCACCCCAGGTCACCCTGTTAGCCACCACTGGTACTACTGACACAGACCGCGGATCTCCATGAAGCTGGCAGACCAGTCCAACACAGTTCCACCCTACGTCCGAAAGCAGTTTTCACGCCGTGATTTTGCGTTCCGCTCGAGATTTGCTTCATCATGCCGATTGGTTGCTGTTGCGAACGCCCTGTGTTGCAGCTCTCTTGGTGGCCAACTTCCGCAGGCCGTCGCGGTTCGAAAATGAGACCACGTGCTTCGTGACTTCGCCCTACGGCAGAAGGATAACCGCACAGCTCCATGCGAAAAGCTAGAATTTTGGATCGGCACCATATCGCCCTCGCTGGGTCTGCAAAGGTCACATGGAATCGATCCCTAACTGCCTCTAAACACGAGTAGTTGGCAGCGGCGCAATTAGGACGTGGGAAAAAAACGGCCACGTGTCCATTTATATGTCCTCACGGAGCCTCTGGCCAGACTTTGCATCGTTGTCGCGGTCCAAAAAGTACATGAAAATCACTGGCCCCGAACGCCAGTGTCGTTTGGGCACCACAGATTTCGATGCCGTGATCTATAATAGAATTTTGGATCGGAACTACAGCTGGAGCTGTTCCAAAATAAATAACCTCAAACCCATCACAAAAAAGAGTATAGGGGGCACCGTGCTATCGTGTTTGTTGTCAGGTATTAAAAAAAAAAAGGCCCTGCTTTTTCCATGGGCTGCAACGCAGGTCAGGTGGATGATGCGCAGGACGAGGGGGAAAGACAACGGGGATGATGGAAGGGAGGCGAGCAGAGGATTTTCTCTGTGCGGCTTCGTTGCCAGTTTGCCAGCAGAGAAACCCAGGCCGCAAGTAGATGCGTAAGCCTCCGAAAACTGACGACCGCCTGATAGTGGGGTTGCCGGCGGTCAGGGGGGCTCCGAGGAATCATCGGATGAAGAGACTGCATGAGAACATTGCACTTATCGACCGCAACACCGCCGTAGGCGGAAAAATGGAAAAACAAGGGTCTCTCTCTAGCCTGGTGTACACGGACGCATCGCACACTGATACGCACCCTGCCTTCTGTTGCTGGTGTCCTTCGCGGGAGCAGGTGACTTGTGCTGCTTACACAGTAGGAGGATTGCATGTCCGCGATGCGTACGTACACAATCGAGTTTTTTTTTTTTCCCGCAACAAATTCAAATCTCTGCCAGTTGTAACTGAAAACCCGGAAACAACGGGGTCCCAGTAACATTGCTCTAAACCATTACAGAGGTTTTGAAGCGTGCGGTTTTCCGTGGGTGCTGAACAAGCAGCCCGTGAAACACAGTGGTCACCTCTCTCCTCCCTCCCTATCCCTCTGTCGCCATCATAATTTATCTCCTTCTCTCCCCCCTCGCTCGCGAGGGCCTCCTGCCTCCCTCTAATGACTCCCGTGCAACATACAAACGATGTAGACTATCGTCGTCTCCTCTCCCGTTACTCCACGTACACCTCACCTTCGACTTGATCTGCGCGACGATGGTCCCGCTCCGGCTGGCGGCACCGACGGTCCGTAGCGCCTGGGCGTACAGGCGCACCTCTCCCCCGCCGAAGGCAGCGAACACGTAGCAGCCGTCCGGCGTCAGCGCCAAGGAGGACACCAGGCCGTCCTCCGGGAGGTCGAAGAGTCCCCTCATGCTGTCCTCCATCATCGGACCGCCTCCGCTCTCACCGGCATGCTCGTCTGGCTGGGCTGCTGTTGTCATGTCTTGCCTTGTCTTGTTTTGTCTTGTCTTGTCTTGTCTCGCAGTTCTTCTTCTCCAGGACTTGAGACCAGCAGTATTGACCTGTAGCTGTACTTCTCACTTTGCCTGCTGGCCTTGCCGGGTGTAAGATAAAGCAACACCGGGAGTCCGCGTTGCTTCGGAGAACTTCTTGATTTCCCGCCTGCTGTGAAGAAGGAGCACGTACCTCCGCCCTTGCGTCAAGCGACGGGATCTAGAAGACAGCAATGTTAACGACACTATCTATGCGCACCCCCCAACGCCGAGCGCTAGGGCGGCTTGCTTGTGTGCCTTACACAGCAGCACAGGTCGATTGATCCTGCGCTGCCTGCTCTTCTGGCTAGTTCGGGGCTACGCAGCTTCTACAAATAAAGGGGGCATCCACTTACATATTTCTCTCACCATTCGCCGGCCTCCATACACCGCTCGACACTGCTGACTGCTGACACGTGGGGCGGCGTGGGAAGCACAGACACCCACAAGAGAGTGAGGGACTTCGTCGCCACTCTGGCGCGTAGACTTTAGAGGGCAGAGAGGATGACGGCGAAAACCGGCCGCTCGCTCTGCCTCCTGGCGTTCTTTCTCTTTGAAGCCGCACGGGCGCTTTCCGGAGGAGGCAGCGGTCCTGGCGGCTTCGCAGCCCAGCATCATGGCGGCGGCTACGGGACCGCCCAGCAGCAGCAGCAGCACCTGCAACGCCAGGAGAAACAGCAGGTGGGGGACCATTTCGACGGCAGTAGGCTGCCGCTGAGGTAGTACAAGCGGCACAGAGTGAAAGCATTGCGCCAGGATACCCGCGTTTGCGTCTGCATGCGTTGATGTCTTTTTGGCCTACAACGAAAGAGGAAGCGCGATCTACATGTACTCTAATTTGTAAGATACCACTTCCCCGATGTGCATGATGCACACATGCACGCTAGGCCTTTGAGCCTCAGCAGCGCATTGTTGCAGTAGCGTTGGTGCTCCACTACTGCTGGCAGTCTTTCAAGACATCTGCCCATGTTTTGGTACCCTGGGCACCTCCTCAACAGCAGTGAACAGCAGTGAAGGTTTCTCATCAAGGGGGGGAGAACTCACGTTTGCTCAACAAACTCTAGACTACTTACGGTGTCGCGCATGCTCGTGTACGCGTAGGTGACAGCGCGTCGTTGTCTCCATACTGATCGAATACCGTAGCAGCAAAATTGGTTGATCTTAGGAGAAGTTGCGGCGTGGTTCAACATGCTCGCTTCCACCTGCATACCTCAGTACAGAGCCGTGTGTCTCATGTTTTGCATGTTTGCACACCGTCCGTGTGCCTAGCCGCCACGCCGCCTCTCCGTGACAGCTAACGCTAGTCCCGCACCCGTCGCGCCGCCCCCCAAAAACTCCGCACCCTTGTCCCTACACGCCCGCAGCAGCCGCATCAACACCAGCAACACCCCCACTACCAGCAGCAGCAGCAGCAGCAGCAGCAGCAGCAGCAGCAGTATATGACAACAACCCCAACATCGTCACCGGCGGACCCCGACGACCCCGACGACCCATCTAAACAGGGCCCGCCGCCGCTGCCCGCCGGTTGGGGAGAGCTCCGCACCGGCGACGGTCGGCCTTACTACGTCTACTACCCCACCGGCGCGGTCCAGTGGGAGAGGCCGAAACCTCCATCGGCAGACTCGGACGGACGCGACGAGGCGGGGCAGCAGCGGGAGGAGGGTTCATCCGCGGCGAGGGCGGAGGGTGCTTCCGCCGCCGGGGGTGCTGCGGCCGTCGAAGGCGAGGCAGGCGCGAGGGGGGAGGCGGGAAAGGGGGGTGCGGTTGCCGGGTACGGGGAGGAGGACCCCTATCGGGGAGAGGTGAGGAGCGAGCCTGTGTAGCAGTGATGTGTTTTGTGATTCTCGCTCGCGCTCAAGGAGCGAACAGATTTTCCACGTGATTTATACACGTGTCCTTCTGTGTTCGCAGCGCATGGGTTTTATCGCCGTGTCGATGTGCCATGTTGTTTTTGTTGATAGATTTCCGTTGACTATCATGGAGGCCGTTGCGATGCGCTTTCATGCAGCAGGCCTCGCCTTTTTGACACGTCAATATTCCACGCGCTTGAACTCCCCTTCCCTCGCTCGTGGCTCGCGTCAACCATGACATGTTTTCATTGCGTTGTTAACTCATTTGTCGGAATACTGCTGTGCCCCACCCAAAAATGTAACCTCTGGTCCCCCCCGCTCCACGCTCCGCTCTTCCGGTGGTGAAGTCTGAGATGTCAGACGCGGAACGCGAAATCGATACCGCCACCTCCGGAGCGAGAAGCAGCGTGACAGGCGACGCCGACTCTCCCGCCGCCGGTGGTGGCGCTCAAGCACCGCCGAGCACATACCCGGGCCAACCCTCGCCGATGGACAGCAGACACGTGCTGCAAGGAGCAGCGGGGAAGGAAGTGACCGCTTCGGCGTATCCGTCGAGCGCTCGGCCCGAGGGAAACGAAGGTCGACTGCCTTCGCCCGATGATCCGTTTCGGCAGCAACAAGGCAGCGGGCCTGGGGGCGTCACCGGGGGGAACGCCGCCGCCCCGGCGTCCCAGCAGGGATCACCGTGGGGAGGCGGCGGCGGCGGCGGAGACAAGGCGGCGGCGTCCCCTCTTTCCGGGGAGCGGATTGGACAAGAAGGGAGCGGTGTCGGCGGCGAGCCACCGGATCCTTGGGGGATGGGCGGCGACCAGCAAGCACCCTCGCAGCCACAGCAACCGAGCGGTACCCCTCCCAACCCCTTCATTCAGGCGGATCAGAACCCGCCGCCGGCCTGGGGAGAGGACCGTGGGGAAGCCTCAGCCGGCGGTGGGTCTCTCACAGCACCGGCGGCGTCGTCCGTAGACCCGATGCGCGGTTCGACTCGAGACCAACCTGGGGGCAGGAACGAACACGGCTCGCCGCTCTCGGACGCTTGGTCGGCGAGCCGACAGCAGCAGCAAGGCGCCCCTCCGGGAGCGGAGCCGTACGACCGGCGCCCCGCCGGTGTTAGTCCCGCGCAGCAGCATCCCGGGTACAACCAACAACAACCGGGAGACGAGGCGGCGGAGGGGCAGTCGTGGGGAGGAGGGGGTGCCGAGGGCAGGGGTCGAGGTGGCCAGCCCGCCACCGCCAGCGCGTGTGCGAGCAGCAGTGGTCCGGGGCAAGGCGGCCCTCCTGCGCCGCAAGAGAGCCAACCGTTCCGGCCGTTAACCGACGATCCGCGGCAGCAGCAGCAGCAGCAGCAGCAGCAGGACTGGGGGTCTTCGCCGGCAATGCCGCCACCGCAGCAGCAGCAGGAGGGCGACCCTAGGGGACCGACGGCTGGCCGCTTCGGGGCTGGTGGCCCATGGGAAATGCCGCCCCTCCACCAAGACCGGTCTCAGAGGGGCGGAGGAGGGGGGGGGGGGGGGNGGGGGGGGGGGGGGGGGGGGGGGGGGGGGGGGGGGGGGGGGGGGGGGGGGGGGGGGGGGGGGGGGGGGGGATGGAGGTGCCGCGGAGTGGGGGGTACGGGGCCCCGGCGCCCGGAGGGTGGGAGAGCGGCGGGCGTGGGCCACTACAACAGCAGCGGATGATGAGTGGACAGCCGCAACAGCAGCAGCCGCAACAACAACAACAGCAGCAGCAGCAGCAGCAGCAGCAGCAGCAGCAGCAGCCACCTTTTCAGCAACAGCAACCCGGTCGAGGAGACTACGGTGGCTATTACGGGCGGAACGACGGGTACTACCAAGGACCGCCGGGGGGTAACGGAGGGTCTAGGCAGCAAGGGAATGTGAGAGAATTCTGCATGTCTGGGAGGCCGGCGAGGAATGCAGGCAGAGCATACAGTACCGGTGAAGAACAAAAAGGCGTGATATCGCTCTAGGTGGCCTTTTTTTGGTGCGATCACTCCTCTAGGGGCAACGCTTGGACAGGGGCGTAGAGTAGGTCGTCGAAGACACCGTCGCGTTGTCTCATGGGATTCACTAGCTATGCTAGCCCCGCCAAACCTCCAGCTACGTAGCAGAGAAGAACGCGAGAAAACGTACAAACCCTTGCCCGCCCCCACCTCCTGTTGTTTCGGTTGACTGCTGTGGTCCCCGTACCTTTTTCCTTCCCCTCCCTCCTCCCCCCCGGTGTTTGCCATCGGGGTTGGGTTTTCGTGGCTTGGCAACGATGTTGTATAACAAGCCAATTCACTTCGTGAACTCGGCAACCAGGTGACCGTTTTTTTTTTTCCCTCTTTTTTTTTGGCGGTAACCATAATGGTGGTCGAGTAGATCGTGTTGTGCGGGGTGGAGAACCCTCAC